GCTTGTTCAAGCGTAAGAAACCTGGATCTTCAACTGATAGACCCATCAGAAAAGGCTCATCCACGAGGCATCCTCTCCGAATTCCTGGTATGAAACCTGGGGAAGGCTGTTATATCTGCAAGTCCAAAACCCATGTTGCTAAGCTCTGTCCTGAAAAGTCTGAATGGGAGAGGAACAAGGTTTGCTTCCTCTCTTCTGGATTTTCTAGTTTTCTCTTTAATCGTTGGCTTAGGACTTTAGGGTTTTGGCAGCTCTTGTTAGAATCAATTGAAGGGTTAATTGAGTTGAAGATAAGATTGTCTTGTTTCTCAGATTTTAATCAGTCTAATTTTTGGTTCAAGATGAATCTTTTTCATTGTTGATACTTTGATGCTCACTTGACTTGGTGGTTGCTGGAATGCGAATAGTATTTTGGTTATACATGTGTGTTCTATTGCTTGTAGATATGCTTGCAATGCAGAAAGAGAGGGCATAGTCTTAAAAACTGCCCGGACAAGACCGATGAGAGCTTCGAGAAGAAGCTGTGTTACAACTGTGGAGATACTAGCCATTCCCTTTCCCGTTGTCCTTATCCTTTGGAAGACGGTATGTCTGTCCTTTTATCTTCTCTGGTCACCTGCTATATGTTAGTCGTAACTTGTTATTCAGGAGATTATCTTCTTTTTTTTTACAATTAGAAGATTTTACAGAAAAGTAACATGAAGTTCTGTAATGAGTTTATGTTATTTAGAGAACAGTATTAGCTCGTAAAATCGTATTGTTCACTCTTCTATATTCATTTGTTGTGTGTGAAACTCATTAAGATTAGATTTGGTTGCTCTTTTTATACTTTTCTAGGAGGAACCAAATTTGCAAGTTGTTTCATATGCAAGGGACACGGGCACATAAGCAAGAACTGCCCTCAAAACAAGCATGGAGTCTACCCAATGGTCCAATGCTCAAATCTTGTTTTTATTTCCTCAGACAGAGTGAGTTTTGAGGTGTTCAACAATAAATTTGATGGAATTTCTTTTGCAGGGTGGGTCTTGTAAAGTGTGTGGTAGTGTGGCGCATCTCGTCAAAGACTGCCCCGATAAATTCAACAAAGATTCAGCTCAACAACCAAAGCGTTCAAGTAAAATTTCTTTTTTCCTCACCCTTTCAATTCTTGAGCTTCTAATTCGTGATCCTAGTCAAGTAGTTTTCTCCTTCATTTGATTTTGAACCGCCTGTGAAGTGATTCGGGACTGTAAATGCAATCATTTTCTATGTATAAAAACCGTAACTTTAACCCTGTGTGAAACAACAGGACTTGATGCTACACCAAGAGGGAAACTCACTAAGTTTAGTGGGGACGATCTTGAAGACGATTTCACTGTAGTAGGTTAAACACCTAAAAGCAGCATGGAGGTGAAGAACCGGAAAAAGAAACAAGGTCCAAAGGTTGTCAATTTCTTAGGATGATACCAAGAGGATCTATAGGGTCGTCAATTTTGTAGGAAAGATCAATTTTCATAATATTCTCTATGCTTCTAAAAGACTTGTAAGGACAAATTGCTATTTGTGTTTCAGAGCAATGTTGTGTAATAGAACCTCACAAGTCAACTCTGTTTAAGGTATGTATTTTCTAAACGAAAACAAACCGGCTGATAACCAAACAAATCAAACCGCGCGGCTGAATTTTAGACCCTAAACGAAACGCAAGACATATCAAAGTGTCTGTATGGATGGATAAGTATGTAAAAATGCTAAAATTAGAGTGGAAAAATAGTCCTGAAAAAAAGGATGGTTAGGCGAATTTGAAGGATAGAGAGGAAAAAAAGGTGTGGTTTCATGTTAAAAGAAAAAGAGGCATTAATGGTTGTCCGAGTTAGTCTCGATTTGGCCTCTTCAAATCAAAGTAAGAATTTCTTCTTCCCCCAAAT